CCTCAGTCCTGCATGACCAGTCAGTCTGTGCTCCTTAATCATCCATGGTCAGACAGTGCTCCCCAGTCCTGCATGACTAGTCAGTCAGTGCTCCTCAATCCTGCAGGTCAGTGCTCCTCAGTCCTGCCTGTTTTTTGTTCCAGGATAGCAAGGTTTCTGCTAGACTGACTGACACAGCTTTCCACCTTCCTCTGAGCTAGAGAGCTAGCCTGGGCTTAGGGACTTTCTGACCCTCCTGCTCAAATCCCCATCTCTCAGAACTCAGGCCAAAGATCCACTTACCATACAGGACCAGGGAGGCAAACACCAGGAAGTGCAACATGTTGCCGTGAGAGTAGACCACTGTCCTTGCCATGAGCTGAACCCTCTTTATACTCCTCTTATCAGCAGCTTTGCTGACCTTCCTCCTGCCAGCTGGGCAGGGCTGTGGGTAGAAGGCAGGAAAAGCACAGGTGGCATGGAGTACAAATGAAACTCATTTATCTCTTCAAGTCAACTCATTTATCTGCTGTTCTAGGACAGAACAAGGCCGGCACTCAGTTAACCTGTTTTAGTTGCAAAGCATCCAGAAACTCCTATTTTATTTTATTTTATTTTATTTTATTTTCTTCCTTCCCTCCCCTCCCCTTTCCTTTCCTTGTCTTTTCTTCTTCTTCTTCTTCTTCTCCTCCTCCTCCTCCTCCTCCTTCTTCTTCTTTTTCTTCTTCTTCCCATTGCACGCACACGCACACACACGCACACACGCGCGCACACACACACACACACGAGTATGTAGATAGGTAAATGTGATAATAAAAAGTTAAGATGAAGAATGAGATGGCTTTTCTTTCAGATGTACCCCACACTGACCCCATCTCTCTCAGCATGCACACTGCCCCCACTGCACACTGTGGAACTATGATGCGGAGACCTGTCCTGCGCATGTAGGGATTGGGGAGATGGGGAGACACAGCAGCTTCTCTATGTCCAAAGAGGGGGATGGGTCTTGTCCCCAGGACATGGATGTAGACTTGAGCCCAAGAGCAAAGCAAAAAAAAAAGATGCTATGAAGAGAAACCATTTTGGTAAGGCTCAAAAGGAAAGCTACAGTGCTCTCAGGGTAAGGGAACGTAGGCAGGATAGAAGAGGGGACCTCAGGAGAAGGAGGGCCATGAGGATGGAGGGCAGAGAATGCACAAGGGGAAGGGCTAGAAGAGGAAGGAGGTCTGAGGCCAGTGTGCCCCAGAGAGGACAGAGGACCACCAGCTGGGCACAAAATGATCAGGGTCATTGTCATTGCAGGTCTCAGAGCAGAGGACCTAGGAGCAGCAGTACAGTAGAGCCCTGAGGCTGCCGTGGCTTCCCTAGGGTCCTTTTTACCTATGAACCTCAGAGTCCAGGCTTTGGGGCTGGGAGAGGCTGGGGAGGGCACTTGCAGGACTCAGCAGTCTGTCCCAAGTCTTCAGGACAGTGGCTGCCCAGGTAGCTTGAAAGGCTCCTTCTGTAGTCTGCCTCCAGCATCCAAAAACAGGTGATCTCATGGAGAAGACTGAGCTGGCTGGAGAATCCAGGGTATCTTGTGACTCCTCTCCCACCTTCTTGCTTCTCTGGAGACTGAAAGGAAGTTGCTAGTCCAGGATGAGAGGTATAAGAAAAAGCTTGAGAGCCCCCTCTTGTGTAGAGCCCGACATCACAGACTCTAATGTCTTTACGGGCAGGACCAATTCTGTTCTTGGCCTGATCCAGAGAAACCCCATCCCATCTGTCATCATTGTCATCGTCATCTGCATTTGAAAGCCAGCCTCCTGCTATGAGTGGTCACTTCCAGTGCTTAGAAGGTGGAGAAGGCTGGAGGCAAGGGAGGAGGTCAGAGCCAGTGTGGACTAAATGAGACCCTTTCCTGAACAAACAGAAATGGGGAACAAGCTCTAGGAGTCAGCTTAAGCCCCCTTATAACTGGTTCCTCAACCTTTAACTGGCCAGCCTTCCTCTTTTTCTTTGAGGTAGGGTCTGGTCTTGAACTCAGATTCTTCTACCTCAGCCTCCAGTTGCCAAGGTTACACGTGCCTACCACTGCACTGTGGCTGTGACTCCCATTCTCACTTGTAGGTTTAGGCACAGATTGGTTGGCTTCAATGTCAAGACACTGCTTTTTCTTTTCCAAATAAACCATTCCAATCCTAGGAACACATCATTTTCTCTTTTAAAATATCTTATTTATTTATTTAGAGACAGTGTTTCTCTGCATAACAGACCTGGCTGTCCTGGAACTCATTTTATAGATCAGGCTGGCTTCAAACTCACAGAGATCCTCCTGCCTCTGTCTCCCGAGTGCTGGGATAAAAGGTGTGCACCACCATTGCCCCAACTGGAACACATTCTTTTCAATTAAACAAAAACTGAAGACTATGGTCTATAGCATAGTTTTCCACCAAACTTCATGGCTAGTCATACATTTTCCACAAAGTTTGGGAAAGTCCAAGCTGACGCAGAGGAAGCTTGAATGGATGGAATATAATGGTGGAAAAACTATTATTAGGTACTGAGTTGTTGATTTCTTTAATGATTTACTTTTAAAGCAAGCTTCTACTGCCTATTTGCCAAGCATGGCTTCGCTTGCTACCTGAAGCAGAATGACCTAGAGAAATAGCTGAAACAACGGGTCATCGTCCCAACAACCTGCCGACTTCTGTGAAGTCTTGTGGCTTGCCAGCTCCACTTTGTGGTTTTAGAATATAAAAATGAGAGCGCAAACCGACTCCAGGACCCACGAGGCCTTTCAGGAGATGACCCGGCTTTGGTCCACCGGTGACAGCTCCTCTTTCCCATCCCCGCCGTGTCAGAGCGATATTTCCAGAAGGTTTCCTGAAGCGATGGTACAATGACACACAAGAAATAGAACAAACTCGTGACCCCAGCATGGGGTAAGGGAGGCAGGGTAGAGAGTTGGGGGCCAGCCTGGCCTACATCACACACTTCTGTATGAGAAAAGGGAAGGAAGAAGAGAAGCTGAGGGGTGAAGGGAGTGGAGACAAGAAAGTTGAGTCTTTGTCTTTTGTTTAGTTTTTTGAGACAGAGTTTTGCTATATCGCCCAGGTTAGCCTCTATCTTGTAATTTCCCCTGCCTCAGTCTCCTAAGTGCTAGGCTTACAGGCAGCAATATTACACAGCTTTAAAAAGAAATGCGTTAGATTTAAATAAGCTGATGCAAGAAGACACTGTTGGCATGTTAAGTGAAGAAAGCAAGTTATAAATGTGATATGTGCATGCTTTCGCATGTTCAAAGGAAAGGGCATGGGGGGGCTCTATGTTCCATGCTGTAGACAGTTATCACTTCTAAAGACATATATGACCACTCATGGTAGTCCATGCCCTAAAACCTGAGCACTCAGGAGTCAGAGGCAGGTGGATCTCTTTGAGTTTGTGGCCAGCTTGGTCTAGAATATCAAATTCCAGGTAACTAGAAATATGTAAATGAGTCTATCAAAACAACCACACAGGTACCTGGGGCCACATTAAGTGAGATCCTGTCAAAACAACAAAAGAAGAGAGAGAGAGTGTGTGTGGAGGGCGTCTAGCTAGGCCCTTCTCAAATTTAAATTATCAGTAGTGGCATGGGAGCCCAGCAGGTTTGATGAGGTAGGACCCTTGGCAGGTAGGGAATAGCCTTGGGGTGGGCTTTAAGTAAGGTGTTGAGTTGGGGCAAGGCCAGCCAAGCAACCAACTTCTGAGTCTTTTCGACACCCTTGTCATACTGTCCCCATCCCTAACCTGGGCCAACTCTGGGGTGGAGGGTATGTGGTCCCTTTCCCTTCCGGTGGCAGCTCTTGTTTGTGTGAGTTCTCCCTCTTGTAGGGGCAGATTTGTGTGAACTCAACCCCCTCTTGTAGGGGCAGATTTAGCCAGTAGGCTGAATACTTAAGGCCCAGAATACATTTAGGGCCCCATGAAAGTGCTTCAGCTTAAGATCTGAAGAAATGAATTCAGACAGACACCTTCATGCCAATGTGATCCATACAGTGTTATCATTGTAGCCGAGGTCGGTCTCCAACCCGCTATGTGACTGATGTGAAGATCTCATCTTCTTGCTCCTCCTCCTGAGTACTAGAATTACTAGCTTGTGCTGTCTATCACATCCACTTACCTGGCTTAGGGGATCAGACCTTGGGCTTGTGCATGCCTGGCCCATGCTACTAACCAAGCTCTCCCAGCTCTTAAATTCCTTTTCTTTTAGTTAGGTTTTGTTGTTGTTGTTGAGTTCCTTTGTGGCTGCTGGGAATTGAAACCAGGTCCCCTGGATGCGCAGGCAGAGCCCCTAACCACTGAGCAATCTCATCAGTACCCCCCCTCTCTCTTGAGATGGGGTTTCTCTATGTAGCCCTGACTGGAAGGCGTTCTGTAGACCAGGGTGGCCTCAAACTCACAGATCTGCCTGCTTCTGCCTTTTGAGTGCTGGAATGTAAAGGTATGCACCACCACCACCCGGTTTCCCCTCCTTTTTTGGAGACAGGGTCTCACTATGTGGTGCTGGCTGGCCTGAAACTTGCTATGTAGACCAGGCTGGCCTCAAACTGACATCTGCCGGCCTCTGCCTGGGGACCCACCAAAGTCATCCTCTAGCTTCTGTTATCATCACCTCATCCCACCACTCCCCAGGCCCCCTCTACCTTTACCGGTGGTTTGGCTCCTGCTGAGGAGCTGCTTGTGTGAATCTGTCCTCCAGTCCCTTCCTTTGATGGGGTCAACTGTCACCCTATGGGACCTTTCCTGGCTCCTGTTAACTCTGTTACTAGCACATTCTGGGTCTCGCTTACATTTGGAGAGGAGGTCCACGGGAAAGGGCCCCAACTTACATCTCACACCTGCACACACTTCACTCCCAACACACTGGCTAGAGGATGTTTGCAGATAAGTAAAGGTGCTTGTAATAGAACAATGTGGTCCTTCCCAGCCTGTTTCAGCCAAGCAGAGAGTGAGTGAGGCCCAATACAAACATCATCTACCATTACCATAAAACCTTTATTTCTACCGGGTCCCCATGTCGGTCTCTCTTCCCTTCCCCCATCCTGGGTCACAGCTTGGCCAGTTTCCTCCCCTTTGGCTAAACCACCCCTGACCGTCTCCCTGGGGACATGGGAGACTTCCTGCAATGTGCAGTTAGTTGCATGGAGCAGGAGGAAGCTGTGATCCCATGGCGCCCTCATGTGGTAACAGCGTGCCACTGCAGTTTTCTTCCAGGCAGAACAACAGTGGATGGCAGAAGGGTTGGATCCTCAGGTCGGCCCCATACAAGGAACTTGTGCAAGGACAGTTGATGGTGTTAGTTCTTTAGTCATCTGCACACTGTTCCTGAACCTTCAGACTTTCTAGGACTGATTAGCCTTATCTGAGGTTTAGCCTCAGAGCTGCCAAACATCTTGCCAGGCGACCTTGGACAAAACACCTATTTAGCTTTTGCTGAAAAATAAATTAAAAAATTGGTCTACCCTAATTTAGGGGCTGCGAGGCATTGCCCGCATATTCCCCATGCTATTTTTTTATTGCTTTCAAGACAGGGTTGAACTCTAAAGTCCAGACTGGCCTTAAACATGTTTTAGTCTCTAAATACCGAGCCTGTAAGCCTGCACCTTCATGCCTAGTTCCTGCTTTGCTTTATATCTCCTTATATATGGGTTATAACAAAGGGGCCAAGGCCTTATGTGTTGAGACTCATTTGCATCTCAGCCAGTGAACTTCCTTCAACAGTAACAACCCAGGATTCTCAATGTGGTCTCCTTTCTTGCTAGCTAGCTATATGGAAGCCAGCCAGCCAATATGGTCAGAGAGGGGTCAAGAAACAGCAAGGCTGGCAGCACATGGTCTAGTGTTCTTGTGTGCTGGAAGGAGCCCTGGATCAGCTGCAGCTTGAGCCACCTGCCTGCTGTATGTACTCTCTGCGTCTGATTTCCTCCCCTGGCCTCTCCCTTTTCTGTCTTTTGCAGTGTTAGGGAGTCAAACCCAAGCCTTTTCTCCAAACTGTATCCCAGCTCAGCCACAACTTTCTTATTGGTACAATGGGGTTTCCTTTCCTGTCTCTTCCATAGATAATTGCACAACGCTATAGGGTAAAGGCACTCTGTATAAGTCAGAATGGTTTGGCGCTAGGGTGTGCTAACCAGGAAGGGTCTCTGTGCTTCCAGCCCCTCTGTAGGACATATTTTCAGTCGGCTTTGGAGGCCACTGTCTCTAGGAGATGAGGAAAGTCTTGGGCCAAGTAGTATGTGACCTCCTGGTCTCTTCCACTGGCATGGAGGAAGAAAATGGAACCAGTGTTGTTGCAAGAATTAAGAAGATCCCACCTTGATGGCCACTGGGTTTAGAAACCCAAGTCTCAGGCCTCCAGAGGAGCTGGGGGAGAAGACTGCCAGATGCTCGGCGACCCCACTTCCTGAGGGGCTTGTTAGACTTGCAGTGGGGATGATCCCAGGACTAGACAAACAGCCAGAGCTGGTGGGGGTCACTGGGGTTACAGGGGGCCATGGCTGGCTTTTTGTCCTGGGATATCAGGCAGGTGCCTGACCCTGAGTTCCTGATGAGTTGATCCTAAAAGGCAACACAGCAGAGGGTCAACCTGAGGATGATGAGACAAGGGCAGTGACAAAAGGCAAAGGGAACTGGATGAGATACAAGGAGGACATTTCCAATTCCTTCCCAAAGATGCACACAGCATGGAGATGCTGGGCTCTAGGCCCAGCTTGAGCCTTATGGCTGTCATAGAAGATTGCAAGACCATGGCTGTTAGAAAACCAACAAACAAAAACCCCAACCAACCCTTTCAGGGCCTCCCTTTCCCCAGGGTGGCCAGGCTCAAAAACTTGGGGCCACAGCTGCTTGCCCCCCTTTTCTGCTTCTGGCTAAACTTTGGCTCTGTCCTTCCTGGTAGCTTCATGGTTAGAGCCATTCATCTTTGCTGAGTAGGTGACAAAGTGAGCAGAGCTGGGCTTAGTGGTGTGAGTTACCACCACCCATCCCTCAGCCGTGTGGTGCCAGGGAATGGACACTGAACTCCCGGTCAGACTTAGGGAGACCCAAACCCCAGCCTGCCATTAGCCAGCGATGAGACTTGGACCAGACAAACTTGTTGACTGGCGTCCGGCTACTTTGTAGAAAGGGGGATGTTGTCTTTTGGGACAGAGCTCCTAAACAGTTAAGAGAGACACTGTCTGTGCCCTGCTTTGCACCTGGCACAGGGAGGCAGATGAGCACCTTGAGGCACTCTTCGCCCTCATCTCTTTAGACTCAGCCTTACAATGCGCCATGGCGGAAGTGCCTGGATCACCATCTCTGTTCCTTTTACAGCCAGGACCAGGCATTAGTGGACATTGATAGAGTGCACACCCACTATGCATCTGACCCTGCTCTAATCCTCCCATGACGCCCAGGCCGAAGACGAAGACGATAAAGAAGAGGGCAGATGCAGTGCTCTGGGCCCACGGTCTGAGCTTCCTGGGCCACTGGCTCACCTGAGTCACCTCCCATTCCTCGTCCTTGGGCACTTTGCTATTTTTGCCGGTGAACTGACAGCTCCTAAGGCCCAGTGTGCCAGCGCTGGCGTGTAGACACAGCTGCTTCCCAATGTTGTGACGAAGGTCCCGCTGAGATGTGTACTCAAAGTACTGCAAGTCAAGACAAAGGTGTCCCGTGGAGCAGGTGGGCAGCTTCCCCACTACCTCCCAAAGTTACTTGCCCTACTACAGTGCCAGCTAGATGGCTTCCTGGGGGAGGAAGTGAGGCTGTATTGAGACTTTAGGGATTTGTGTCACTGCCATGATTGTTATACTGGATTAATAGTGCATATAACCCGACCAATAAATTAAGATTGTCTTAGACTTATCTTAAGCACCACCTATGAAGTCATACAGCAGAACACTAGCCCTACTTTTGTGTGTGTGACATGGAGTTTGTTTTGTGGCCCAGGATGGTCTTGATCTCTGTCATGTAGACCAGGCTGGCCCTTTTGCCTCAGTCTTCTAACTCCTGGGACATTGTGGCATGCAGCCCATGCATGGCATGTGTCATCACAGTCACCTGCTGGTTCTGGGTTTGCTAATAAATCACCCTTGAAATGAAAGACACTTGCCAACGAACCCCCTAAAATCATCTTAAAGCTGGTTGTCTCTGCATCTGCCTTCACGTGGCTTTGCTTTCATTTGTACTTTTTGGCAATTGGTTCCAGCTATCCGTTATCTTGCGTCGATTCTGTTTTTAAATACCTTTTATTTACCAGATCTGGGTACTAGATGTCTGCGGGAACAGTGGGTAAGATCATGCTGTTTGGTTTTTGTTACCTTGAAACAAATTAGGGTCATCTGGAAGAAGACTCTTAACTGAGAAAATGTCCCCATCAGATTGGCCAGTAGGCAAGGCTGCAGGGCATCCTTTGATTAACGAGAGGGCCCAGCCCACTGTGGGAGGTGGCACTCCTGGACAGGCCATCCTGGTGGGTAGGAAGCCAACTGCACAAGAGCTTGGAGGGAGAGCGAGCCGGTAAGCACGGTCCTCCGTGGCCTCTGCTTCAGCTCCTGCCCTGACTTCCTTCAGTGACTGTGATGTAGAAGTGTGGCCTGAAACAAACCTCCAGGAATGTTTGTGCAGAGATTTAATCCCAGCACTCGGGGGGGGGGGGGCAGAGGCACGTGGATCTCTGTGAGTTTGAGGTCAGCCTGGCCTACAGAGGGAGTTCCGGTACTGCCAGGGCTTCATGGTGAGACCCTGTGGAAAAGCCCTTTCCTCTTTTGGTCATGATATTTTATCACAGCCATAGAACACAAACTAAGATGGCGAGGGCGAGTTATCCCTCAGGGATGTACTGGGGCACTGTGGGGCATGGGGAAGTTTCTAGGGCATCAGTGGGTCACTACTGGAGGTGGAGTCAGAGCGTAGTTTCTGGCCAGGGGGGCATTAAGGATAAAAGCATAGGTGTAGGTGAGAGAGAGTGCTCAACAATTCTGCACAGCCCCCAGCAGCTAGTCTCTCCCACAGTCCTCTCTGCTGGCAGGGTCCCTTCATCCTCTAGTGCCCAGCATGGTGCCAGCTCTGTATCCCTGCTCTAGTCCCCTGTGTGTGTCATGACGCAGACCTCATCTGTGAGCATCCTCTGTAGACCTCGTCTGTGTGCATCGTGTTTTACCATCCAGCCAGCCTAGCTGCTTCCTGGGCAGGGGTGACTCCTCCTTCTGCATCTTCTCTATTGGAGGCCTCAAGAAAGGGTAATTTAGAATAGAGAAAGGGGGCCCCGTGGGAAGAAGAGGTGCCTTAGAGACAGGCTTCTGTTGGGCCTGTCCAGGGTGAGCATGTTTTCTCTACCTGATTGCCGCCAAGGTTGTGGCAGACATACATGATGAGGGGCTTCCCTCCGCGGTTGTTCTCGCCCACATCCAAACACTGATTGGTACCGAGATTCTTAATCTGCAGAGAGGCGAGCAGAGGGGAAGCAGATTGCTCAGCTTGGTGTGGGCGCAACTGGAATGGCTTTTCCCCTCTGGCTATGAACCCAGATGCCTGTAACTAACAACAAAGTGTGGCTGAAGAGCCCTGAGGATGGGCAGGGCAGGGCTGGGTGCCCTCTGTGGGGTAATATGGTCAGGCCCTTAGAATGCCGGGTCAGAGAGGCCTTCAGCACATGGGAGCTGACCCTCAGCACCACCTAAGACTTGTTCAAGATTTGGATGGGAACAGCAAGCATGGGGTCCAGAGATGTGTATTAACACACCTTCCTGGGTATTCTCAGGGACTTAATACTTAAGAATCAATATTCATGCATTTCCTCCTTTGGCAGTTTTTGAACTATAGAGGAAGCCTCAGATTGTCTCCCCATCTTTCTGGCTTGGCTGCTCTGGGAATGCACTGTCTTGACTTCTTTATGGTACCATGGGAATGGGCAGGTTGACTTACGGCTCCATAGAAGGTGGGGTTCAGGTCAGGGACAAACATCTCTGGGTAGACATTGTGCAGATACCAGGAAAAATTGTGGCAGTGTAGCTGTTCCCTCAGTTGCAGTCGCTCCGAAATGTCACCGAAACTATTCTGTCAACCAAGTCAGTCCCCTAAAAGGTCAGTGCCACAGCCCAGGTCTTCATGCCTGGATCGAACAACCCAGACAACATGGAGCACTGAGGCCACTCTCTCCTGCTGGTCATGGCTACTGGCTCAGCCTCACAGCATACCTGACCCCTGGCCTTACTTTGGGGACCTCACTACTTACAACACTTCCTCATTCTCCAGGGACTCCCCAGTCAGCCCTCCTGGTCTTCAACTCTGAGCCTGTCAGAGCCACTCCTCCAGTGATGGATTCCCCTTCCTATCCCTTTCCTTCTCCTCTGAACAATGCTGGGACACCCCCACACCCACCTTACTCCTCTGGGAGGTACAACAGCTCACCCTCTTCTCCTGTAGCCCTAGAGCCCTGTGTTCATTGGGCTAGCTTACAGAGTTCTGAGGAATGAAGGGAGACTGGAAGATAGAGATGGGATGGCCCTGCCACTGGATTTGGCAGTTGACCAGGGGCCTGGGATTCCATGAGCCTCTCAACAGATGCTACCCAGGCATTGGTGTCTCACCTCCTGGACCATCTTCGCTGCCTGCAGGTTTCTCCTATAGAAGATCTTCTTGTAGCTATCCATCCAGACCTCAGCCAGGCGCACCTGATTGCGTGCAATGACACTGGTGCCCTTGGGGAAGGTGTGGGGACTCTTGGTTCGGAACACATGGCCTACCACGGAGCAGGGGATGATCTCCATCTGGCCTCCACACTGCCATACCTGACAGGAAAGAAGGGGTCATTCAGGAGGCTGGATGACAACTCCCTCCAAGCAGTTTAGTTCCGTTTCCAGAACGCCAGACCCCAGGTGCTAGGACGGACAGGAGTAAATGTTGCCCTTTCACTCCCTCAGGAGAGAAACATTGGCGGGCTTCTTCCTGCTGCAGCTACCCATGTCCAGGCTGTCTGCTGCTCATCTGTATGTGGATGTGGGTGTGCAGAGTCCCCAGTCATCAGGACACACGTCAGAGAAGAGACAGTTGGTTACACCTGTGCCATGCACTTACTAGCTCTGGGCTCTTGGCTTTCTGTTTTGAAGACATGGATGCTTACCCAGGAGTTACAGAAAAGCTGACTTCCCCCATGTCAGAGCACCAGTCAGGGGCCTGTGGCCACTGGGCCTTGAACATGCCAATTCTCCTGGAGAGATCCTGGATCTGGGTCAGACACTGAATGTGTGACCCACATACTGGCTGGTGGCCCTCTCTGTGCCAGCAGGCTGGCTGAAGACATCTCTCCCACAGGGCTCTTTGGGGGCTTGTTTTGGAAGGTACCTGTTATTTACTTTGATATGGCAGCAACAGAAGCCCACAGTCACAGCTACAGTAACGGCAGAAGGCAATTATGTGCTTAATATATGCCAGGCACTGGGTGACTCCATTAACAAGCTCATTTCCTGTTAATTAGCTAGCTGGGGATTCATGCAGCATTCAGGGCCAATCCTTCCTGACCTATCTTGATTCACCTCATTCCCAGAATTCCTCAGAGTTCTGCCTCCATCAGAACTGGGTTCCACCTCTTGTGAAGAGCTTGTTGAAAGCATGTGGGGAAAACCCAAAGGCCATGGGGCGGGGAGGGGGGGGGGTCAGGCGTCCTTTGACTTGGGAAGAGGAGCCCAATTTCTCCAAAATGGAGGCTGGTTCACTGGCTCCTGTCCCTTTCATTTTTACCCGAACCAGTTCCCACATTCTCCATAAAACAGTCCGTTACCCGAATTTGATCCTTACTGCTCCCACGATCCCCTCCCTCTTAGAAGTTTTGTCCTGGAATTTGGTTCAAGCCCCTGGACTCATCTCCAGAGCCTACCACCCTCGCAGGGACAGCGGAGCCATGGCAGGGAGCAGACACCCTTTCAAGTCCAGCTCCAGGGATGTTAAGGTTTCCCCCTCGAAGCCCCCTTCATTCTCACCCGGAAGGACATTTCCACATTCTCCCCTCCCCAGATCTCCATCTGATCATCATAGGTACCAATGTGCTCAAAGTAGGCCTTGGAGATGGAGAAGAGGCCACCGGCAAACGTGGGGGATCTGGAGAGACAGGGAGAGGGCACTGTCAGTGGGGAACAGGTGCCTGGCACGGAAGGCTGGTGACTGCCCCCCCTCTTGGCCTCCTACTTCATTCCTGTCCTCCTTGCTGGGCCGTGCAGCCCCCTGCTAACTTTCACTGTGCCTGCTTCCCCTTCTGGAACTGGGCCCAGGAGAGAGGCAGTCCACAATACTCTGTTCTAAATGAACTCCTTCATCTGCTCAACATCACCCGGCAGGGCCTGAGTGCCACGGCTGCAGCTGGAGCTGACAGAGGTGACCCGGCTCCCGGGGCCACAGTTGAGAGAGAGGAGAAAGCGCCAGCTCGCTCTCATTTTGTGTGGCAATGTGACTAAGGCAGAGAGGGTAACCACCTCTAGAAGCCCTGTGAAACAGGTTCTGCAAACAGGCGAGATTCAGACCATGACAGGATGAGCACATGTTACAGGCTGGGCTGGCCCATTCTATGTCAGGGTCCTTGTCCATGAAACCGGGCCTAGTCTGCTAATGTGTTTTAGACTGCCTGAGAAGCCTAAGCTTGGAGGGAAGCTGCTAGTGACCTTGAACAGGGGACACTGGTGAGAGATGCTCCTGGCAGCAGGGTGGTCAGATGGGGTTCGGGGGGCAAACTCAGTCTGAACTGCGTTCTGGCTTTCAGATGAAGGAAGGGAGGCATAGACCCAAGTCAAGACAGGGCTAATGCAGCAAGGTGATGTCACAGGAGTCCAGGGAAGTGGAGGATTCTCTGGACCTGCTCTTGTCTTCCTGATGTCACTTCTACAGCCACATTCTAGAAGGAATCACAGTTGGGAACCTCTCATGTTTGGGCTGGCTTCCTGTCACCATATCTGTCTTCTCCCAGGAAGAAGCCCCAGGAAGCTCAGGGGGCCCTAGAACTCAAGATGAGTGCTCTGAGGCTAACTTGCTCTTGAGAGAGTCTGAGAGGTTCCCAGATTGAGGGGGTCACTGTCAAATTAGCCACGTGGGTAAATGCCATGCAGGAACATCACTGTAGACTCATCCCAGCAGGTAGCCTCTAGAAATGCCTGTATATGCTGGCCTGTGTCTCTTAGCTCTCTTCTCAGCCATCCACCACTCTGAGAATGAGGACATGAGCTACCACCAACGGTACTGTTGAAGGCCCACCATACGGAGAGTTCCTGAAGCCATGTGTGCTGCCAGGACACCTGAACCAAATAGCGCATTCATTCCTCAAACACTGGAGCTTTGTTCTCCCATTGAACTGTCGCACAGAGGCCAGGGCGCATTAGTGATAGATAGGTGAGGGCCAGATGCCCTGTGCCTGGCGCTGGCCTGGGTGGGGTAAGGGTTTGTTGCTATACATGCCAAACAAAGGCGCCTATGAGGCAAACAGCAGGGAGTACAGATTCCTTCCTCTCCTGTCTTGTCTTTGCTCTCTTCTTTTTTTTGTTTGTTAGTTTGCTTGTTTTGCAGGATGGGGGTGGGGGTCTTACTCTATAGTTCAGGCTTTCCTGGAACTTTGTAGCTCAGGCTAGCCTAAAATCCATACCGACCCAGACAGAACAATGGCTCATGGATGGGTCAGCAGCTAAAGTGTTTGCTGTGCAAGTGGGAGGGTCCGAGTTCGGATCTTAAAACCTCAGGTAAATTCCTGGTGGGCATGGCAACCTTCTTGTCACTCAAGCTTCAGAGACAGCATCCCTAGAGCAAGCTAGTTAGCAACCACAATTATGTTGGTAAGTTCTGGGCTTAAGTGGGAGACAAAGCCTCAATTAAGGAGGTGGAAGGCCAATTAAGGATGACTCCCAACATCAACCTTGGGCACATGCACACACAAGCAGAAGTACTCTGTAGTGAGATAGTCACTTTATCCTCACCTGTGGCATTGACCACGCCCATTGGGGGGTGGGGACGGGGGGTGGACATGACCTGGGAGAACTAGGTCTGGGGAAGGGGCTCCCAGAGCACCCTCTGGCTTGAAGCATGGGGACAGAGAGCATCCAGAGGCATCCTTGGGACTAGGAACCCGCTGCTGTTCATCTGTCTACGTTGTAAGTTATTTCTCCCTGAATAAACATCTATTCAGCCTATCTGTTTTACCTTATTACCTTATTAAACTACGATAGTACTCACCTACATGTGTGCCCACAACACATGCAAAAGCATGTGCACACATGCACCTGCACACACATCAGCACTCAAACACACACATAGATTTGAATATACACACACAGCAGAAAGAGAAAAACTGAAATCTGTAGAGTTTTGGGCAGGCAGAGAACAAAAGGCTCCATGAGCTTTAAGCATGCTGGCTTTCATTTATGTGGCCTGACTGCTTGTTTTTAGAAGACACTATGGCTGTGGTTCTCAACCTGTGGGTCAACATCCCTTTGGGAGTCGCATATCAACTATTTACGTTTAAATTCATAACAGTAGCAAAATTATAGTTATGAAGTAGCAATGAAATAATCTTATGGTTGGGGTCACCATAGCATGAAGAACTATTTTAAAGCATTAGGAAGGTTGAGAACCACTGCTCCATGGTAAACAATGGTTGTTTTTTTTTTTTGTTTGTTTTTTTGTTTTTGTTTTTTTCTTGGTAAGGTCTCTTCAGGGCTGGCCTGGAGCTGGCTAGCAAGAGTAACTTGGGCTTCTGATATTGTTTTTCCCTCCAAAGGTGGGGTTTCGGATATGCACTATCAGGCCAGTTTGGTTTTCACATTTTGAAACAATTGTAAAAACCCCAAAACCTAACCCCCAAAATAAAAGAACACCAATAGACTATATGTAGGTGGGTAGCAAAGTCAGACTATTACAATACATCCCTTTAATGGAAAGTACAGGGCAACTGTAGCAAGCTTCAACCTGACCTGAATAACCTGTGTTTGCTCATTTTCCCTCACCCCACCCTGCCCTGCCCCGCCCCAGACTGACCCTAGGGCTTCGAAGATGTTAGGGAAGTGTTCTACCCTTGAGCATTTTACTTTTAAGACAAGGTCTCACTGAATTTCCCAGGCTGGCCTTGCATTTGTGTCCTCTTGTCTCAGCTTCTTGAGAGGCTAGGATTATGTGCTGGATAGATTTAGCTTGACACAGCTAATGTCATCTGAGAGGAGGCAGCCACAGTTGAGAAAGTACCTCCATAACATCAAACTGTAGGTAAGTCTGTAGGACTTTTAAAATTAGTGATTGATGGGGGAGGGCGCAGCCCATTGTGGTGCCAGCCCTGGGCTGGTAGTCTTGGGTTCTATAAGAAAGCAGGCTGAGCAAGCCACAAGGAGCAAGCTGGTAAGCAGCTCCCCTCCATGGCCTCTGCATCAGCTCCTGCCTCCAGGTTCCTGCCCTGTTTGCCTTTGATGATGGACTATGATGTAGAAGTATAAGCCACATACACCTTCCCCTCCCCACCTTGCTTTTAGATGTGGTGTTTCATCTAGCAATAGCAACCCTGACTAAGACAGAGTGCAAGCACGAATCACCAGGCCCAGCACCTATTTTCCTTTCCAGAGGCTTTTCAAAGACAGTGACCTAGGAGCCCACACCACAACTACCTATCACAACGGTTATTCAGCAATGACCTCCACACAGCATCTCTCACCTACTCTGCAAGCAGAGGTCCTGGCCTTCTAGGTATGGGGCATAGGAAGTGAGGTGACAATGTACAGGAACAGGCTATAGCGGCATGAGGCGGTATGGTCCATGTTGGGTCACACAGGTCCTCGCCTACCCTGTGCTAGCTGCAGGATCTGAGCTTACTACCTTGGGCTTCTGAGGTAATGTTACCTGCTCACTGCCTTAAGTAAAACAGGCTAACTGCAGGACCTACCTTACAGGGGTGTATGGCTTGATAAGGCACCTAGCAGATGTTGGTGTGAGATGGTACCAGTCCCCAGAGCTGAGTGTGTGGAGACCAGGTGGGAGCTCACCAGGGTGCAGTCCTTACTTGATGGGGTAGGTCTCATCCTTGCGTCTCTGCTTCTCATGTGCAGGGAGCAACTCCCAGCCAAAGGTCAGGCTCCAGTCGAAGTTGCCTCGGCTGTGGGCTTTGCCTTTCTGTACAGGTTTGGAGAACTGGAAAGTGTTAAGGTCGATGGTGACAATGTCTGGGCTCACCACCACTGTCTTATCCTCAGCAATTCGAGCCAGGAGGGGCTCCAGCCAGCCATGGAAGCACTCACCTGCAGAACCAGACCAGAAGGTGGAGGTCAGGACCCTAGTTGCAGCTGAACCCTCTACCCTCAGAGGAGACTTGGGGAGGGTGGGGTGCATATCCAGCAAGCTCCACAGGAGGGAACACAGCATCTCTGAAGCTTTGGAAGGGGTAGGCTTTGGGGGAGCAACCTGGTCAGCATAGACCAGATGCAAACCACCACTGACCTGGAGGGGTGCCTTCAGGGTTTCTAGCCCCCCACTTGAGTGTGGGCTTCAGCTCCCTATCTCTAACCATAGAACTACCCTCCTCCCAGGCTTCCAGCTCTTCCCTGCTTGCTTTGTTATGCAGCCTCCACTGGCTGGAACTTGCTTTATGCTATACTAAGTAGGGGGTGGCCTCAAACTTGCTGTGGCCACCAAAACGCTGAGATACCAGGCATTATTACCACACTTAGACAATTTTGGGGCTTTCTTTCTTTGTGTCTTTCTTTCCTTTCTCCTTCTCTCCCTCCCTTCTTTCGTTTCTTTCTTTCTTGATTGATTTTTCAAGACATGATTTCTCTGTGTAGCTTTGTAGACCAGGTTGGCCTTGAACTCAGAGATCCACCTGTCTCCTGAGTGCTGGGATTAAAGGCATGGGCCACCACTGCCTGGGTAGTTTTGGGACTTTGAATGAACATAAGTTCTACATTTCTTTATAGTTTTAGATTTATTTATTTTGCCTTATGTACATGAGTGTTTTGTCTGCTTGTATGTCTGTGTACCTTGTACCTGCAGAGGTCAGCAAAAGGGATTGGATCCCCTAGAACTGGAGTTACAGATGGTTGTGAGCAGCTATGTAGGTGCTGGGGACCAAACCCTGCTCCTCTGCAAGAACAAATGATTTTAACCTCTGAGCCATCTTTTGAGTCACAATTTTACTTTATATTAACGATATTTTGTTAGGTGAGTAAATAAACCGAGGCTCAGTTAGTGGCAGTCAGATGGGAACCAGGGCTCCCGATGCCAGTCTAGAGTTTTCCCGATTCTATTGTGGGGACAGGGGCTGCTCTTCAGGGTAAACGCCATCCGAGTGCACTGCCAGCTGTTCTGCATCACCAGGCTTGATGGCTATGCTCTCAGGAACCATGCCCGGAATCAGTGTGAGAGAGGGGGAAAGCACCAGGCGGCTTTACTTCAGGACAGGACGGCCTCCACCAGGGGCATCGCCTACTCACAGTGGGCGTCCAGGAACGTGAGCACCTCGGCCTGCGCCACACTCGCCCCCAGCAGCCGGGCTGTAATGAGCCCCTTCCGCTCCTGCTGCCGCACCACCTTCACGATCTGCAACTGTTGTACGTATTGCTCCAGCCGCTCCTTCAGGTATTCTGGAAGGGACAAGGCCACTGTTACCAGCTCCTCACTGATTCCCTGTGGGTATCAAGCCCAGGTACTCCCAGGTCTCCAGCAGGTCTGAATGCCAACCTTCCCACACACCTGTGCACAGCCATTCCATAGGCAAAGGCAGAGAAGGAGGGAAGACACGCAGGGAGGAAGCCCTGTCTGTGGCTGGACCCCTTGGAGGACAGGTCTGTCTAGGGTCCTGTGTCTGTGGCCATCTTCCCTCTGTGAGGTGCTGGGGATTGAACTCATGGTCTTGTATGAGGCAAGTGCTTTACTGCTAAGCTATACTGTCCTGCACAAGCCTAATCTTTGACTTTCTCCTCTGTAAATGGAACTCCTTAAGGAGAATAAAACAAGATAAGTAGACAAAATAATATTAAAAGAGGCTGTGGGTATGGGTCAGTGGTAGGGCACCTGCCTAGCATTGATTCCTCTCCAGCGCTGTAGACCAGGCTGGCCTCGAACTCACAGAGATCTGCCTGCCTCTGCCTCCCGAGTGCTGGGAGGAAATGTGTGCACCACTACATCTGGCTTACTGTTCTATTTTCAAAACAAAAGAAAAAAGATTCTATTTTTAAATTATGCATATGTGCCTGCATGTGTGAGTACAGCATTGCAGGGCCCAGAGGATGTCAGGTCCGCTGGAGCTGGGTTAGAGGCAGGTTGAGCTGCCCAGCATACCAAACACAGGAAGGACATGCTCTTAACTCCCAAGCCTCCTAATCCTAACTGTAAAATGGATGCTTGTAGCTTTAGCAGTGGAGGACAGCTGTGACAACTGTATGTGTCCTTCCCCTTCCAATTGTGAGCTCATACTGGGCCTTGCTCTGGCTACTATGCTTTAAAAGCTACAAGTCCTGAAAACAATTCATTGGACTATCATATCAAACACACACACACACACACACACACCCAAATACTTGAACACCTACTATGTGCCAGTCATTAAAGCAGGTGACTTCATGTCTGTCAACCTCAGATTAACAGATGGAAAGTCAAGACTTGGAGCCCAGGTCACCCTAGCAAACATGATAGGCTCCTAAGCAGCTTCTATGTGAAGACTTGTCTCCTCCAAGAGCTGTGAAGCCACCTACCAGGACTTAACGGGTGTGAGTTTCTTGGGGGTGGCAGTGTTTCTTGGTTCCCTTAGTTACCTGTGGTCTTGCTGGTTTCCCCTGTGCGAGACTCCAAGGAGGAGAGGGAATAAAGGGACTTGGTCAAGCTGCCAGGGACAGCAGAGCCCTCTTTGCAACTTGAACTCTTATTTTTTTCTTTTTCAGCCTTTCTGGTAGGCCAGTGTTCCTGACTCCACTGCCCTGTGAATGAAACCCTCCAGGAAGTCCTGAGACCGAGGTTTGTCTTGCTCCCGTAATGGAGCCTCTTGTCTCTGGTGCCAGGACCTGGCTGTTCCATTTTAGCCTCATGTGGTAGCTTCAGTCCAGCAGTGACTTAGGGTCTGCAATGTACTGTCCAGGAGCGGCCTGTGCAGGAAGGGTCTGCTGCCGCCACCACTGGATGTGTGAGCCTCAGCCTGGCCCCAGCCAGGTGTTGCTGACAGGAAGGAGGAGTCCAGCTGGAGTGCTATCTTCTCAGCAGCTTGGCTGAAGTCTCCCAGAGACCCTGCTCAGCTCTGCTCACCGGAAGCTTATGGTGGAGATAACAGCAGGCAAGCATCACAGGAAGTAGGTTGTGTGGTAAGACAGTGAGAAGCACTGAGCTGTGACTCCAGGGCCCTGTACTCTGAAGCTCTCCCACGCCTTCCTCCCAGTCTCAGGGGGTCAGGCTGGGGGCTCTTGGTTCTGGGCCTGAGGCCCTTGCAGGAAAGCCAAACAACTCCCCCATGCCATCCACTCTCTGTCCCAGGGCAGAGTATTGTACAGCTGAACCTAGAGACAGGCGGGCCAGCATATGCTCTCATGTCCCTCACATGACAGTTTATGATTTAGGTTCCATAGTCTGCCACCCACTCCTCGGGATGAGAGTCCACAAGACTGAGGCAAACCCTTTCCTCCACCCCATGCAGCTCATGGCCCACAATGCTTCTGTGAGTGACAACCCCAAGTCTTTCCTCCAGCCCTGCAGAACTCTACTCCTCATGGCAAGTCGCCTGGTGACCTGGGCATCAGCATCCCTTTAGCTGCTCCACCCTGGAGCCAAGCTGGGTTCTCCCTGCCCCTTCCTTTCCTTAAAGATCCACTGTCAACTCAATAGCAAGCTGATCACTTCTTACCCCATTCCTACTGTCACCTCAGCTGTCACGGTCAACCACTCTCCCAGCCACCACTCCATATGCTCCCAGAATGTTTTAGATAAGGAGGCCACCTCAAACTGCAGTTTCCTTGCTGGGTGGTGGTGGCATTCACCTTTAATCCCAGAACTCAGGAGACAGAGGCAGACAGGATCTCTGAGCTTGAGGCTAGCCTGGTCTACAGAGTGAGTGTTAGAACAGCCAGAGATACACAGAGAAACCCTGTCTCTAAAAGCAAAACAAACAACAACAAAACTCCCCTGCAGTTTCCTTTCTCTTTCTCGTTATTGTTTGATGGTGATGGAATTCAGAGCCTCAAGCATGCTAGGCAAGTGCTCTACCACTGAGCATTGTGCCTAGCCACGATCTCCTCGCCTAACCCAGGCTAGTCTCAAACTCTTACTTTTTTGTTCTTTTATCTTTTGAGTTTCTAATTTAAAAAATTATTTTATGTGTATGATGTTTTCACCTGCATGTGTGTCTGCATCACGTGTGTGCAGTGCCCATTGAGGCCAGAAGAGGGTGTTGGATCCCTAGGATTGGAGTGAGAGTCGTGACTTGCCAGGTGGGTGCTGGGAACTGAACCTAGGTCCTCTGAAAGAGCAGCCAGTGTTGTGTCATCTTTCCAGCCCTTGGCATCCTTCCCGCCCCTGGTCTCACACTCTGTGTACCCAAGGATGACCTTGAATTTCTGATCCTCCTGTATCCACCTTCCACACTCTGGGATTATAGGCATGTGCCATCATGCTTGGTTAACACCGTGGTGTGGGTTATACCCAGGACCCTGCACATACTAAGCAAATACTCAACTAATTGAATTATATTCTTGGCCTCCCTCTGACCCTTATCTCTTAGAACTATAAATCACATAATTTTTGTGAGCTCCCCCACTGCCGCCTCACGCCCCCCCCCAGACAGGGTTTCTCTGTGTAGCTTTGTAGACCAGGCTGGCCCCAAACTCACAGAGACCCACCTGCCTCTGTCTCACACGTGCTGGGATTAAAGGTGTGTGCTACCACTGCCCAACTGGTTTGTTTTTTAAGGTGTGATGTCACTATGTAGTTCAGGCTGGACTCAAGCTCACAAATTTCCTGCCTTAGCCTACTACAATTAGATACTTTTACTATGATGTTTCAAAGGTGCATTAGAAACAAACCTAGGACTAGTGAGATGACTTAGTGAGTGAAGGTGCTTGCTATGAAGGCCTGACAGCCTAAGCTGAATTACTGGAACACAGAGCGGAAGGAGAAAACCAACTCTCCCACAAGTGCAAAGCCCTGGGTTCAGTTCCCAGCACTTGAAAAAAAAAATCCAACCAAACAACAATAAAAAAAAAAAAAATCATCCACTCCAGATAATACAATCTGACAATTTCACTTCTGGGTACAGATAAAAAAAGAATTCAAAACAGGGATGAAACAGATATTTTCATACCTGCTTATAGCAGGATTAGTCATAAAGCCGCTGGTAAACCCATCTAAATGTCCACCAACATATGAATGCATATGCAAAATGAGGTGTAGCTGCACCAGCGAATATTATCCAGCCTGAAAAAGAAAGGGAATTCTGACGTATGTTCCACAGACAGAACTTGATGATACTATGGAATGCGAAAGACGCCAGTCCCCAAAAGACAAATGCTATATGGTTTCTTTCACCTATATGAGCTACCTAGGGTGGTCAAACTCAACAGACAGAAGGTTGAACCGTGGCTTCCAGGCACTGGGGCAGATGGCACTGTGGTTTTAATGGGCACAGAGTTGCAAAGGAGAAGATGAAATAGGTCTGCAGATGGAAATGGTGATGCTTGCACAACAATTTGGGTAGATTTAGTGCCAACGGGCTGTACACTTAAAAATGGCAAAGATGGAGCCAGTAGGATGGCTCAGAGGGTAAAGGCATGGTGCCGATGACATGAATTCCATCTCCATAACCCATGTTAAAAAACAGTCAGGTGTGGAAGCCCCTATCTGTAATCCCAGACCTCCTGCAGTGAGATGGAAAGCAGAGGCAGGATAGTCAGAGGAGAGAAGCACCTCCACACATGAACCATGACATGTGTGCCTGTACTCAAACACACACACAGGCACATGCACACACAAATAATAATAAAAGTTTTTGAGACAGAGCTTCTCTACTTAGCCCTGGCTGTCCTAGAAGTCAATAATAGCTATGTAGACTTGGCTTGCCTGAAATTTGTTATGCAGACCAGGCTGACCTCAAATTCATAGAGACTAAATCCAAAGTGCTGGATTTAAGGCAAATGCCATCATGCCTGGCTAAAAGAAATATTCTTTTAAGAAGAGAAAGACAAACAAACAAACAAACAAAAAATCATGGTTAAGATGGAGAGGCAGGAACCTTGCCTATTTATTATACACAGGGTCCTAGGTTTGAGTCTCAGCATCATACATACACACAAAAGAACAGTTCATATGTTAAAAAGAAAATATTGAATTTACGGATTAAAATGAAAAGTCAAGCAAACAACGGTGGTGCCAGCACCTCTTACACTCCCTGACTCACGAGAAGGGCACACTCCCTAGCTACTGCTTGCACAGGCCTCGTGATACCCTCGCTCACTTCTTTTGTATCCCTGCTGTGGCTGCCTTGCTCACTTCCTTTCAGCCATGCCAGCCTGCTTTCTCACCAGCACACCACGCCTTTGGAGAGCTGGCTGTTGTTTTTGTGGGGGACAGCCTGAGCAGCCTTCCCTGGCATCTCTGGGAAGGAGTTCCCCGACTTAGTATAGCACTATTCCTTTTCTGCTCTTAGAGGAACTGCTTCACAGAACTCACTGTTACCTAAAATTATTTCCCGGGGGTTGGAGAGATAGCGCCCTTGCTGCTCTGTAGCAGACCTGAATTTGGTTCTCAGCACCCACTTCAGGTGGCTCACAACCACCTGTAACTCGACATCTTCTTGCTTCTGTGGGTGCTACATTTATACACAGACATATTCACATGTACATACGTACAAATAAGATCTTATCTTAAAGAAAAAGCACAAGGGCTAGAAAGATGGTTCAGAGGTTAAGAGTGCTAGCTGCTCTTCCAGAGGACCCAGGTTCAATTCCCAGCACCCACATGGCAGCTCACAACCATCTTGTAATTCCAGTTCCAGGGAATATAACACCCTCACACACATGCAGGCAAAACACTAAATGCCCATAAAAAATAAAGTAAAAAGGAATCATTTAAAAAAATAAGGAAAAAACCCACAAAAGTATTGGAGAGAGAGGTCGGCAGTTAAGAGCATTAGCTGGGTTTGGCTCACAGTCTTCCTTCACGCCAGTTCCAGGGGATCCAATGCCCTTTTCTGGCCTCCCCAAGAACCAGGCATGCACATGGTGTACTTAATACATGCAGGCAAGCACTCATATACATAGAAAAATCTAGAATAATTTTCTTCTTTTCAACTAAATAAGTTAAGCAGCCAGGCACTGGTGGTACACACCTGTAATCCCAGCACTCAGGAGGCAGAGGGAGGAGGAACTCTGTGAGTTGGAGGTCAGCCTGGTCTACAGAGTTCCAGGACAGGCAGAGCCACACAGAGAAAGCCTGTCTCAAAAAACCAATAAATAAAATAAAGTAAGTTATAAGAAGAAAAGGCAGTAAAGGGTGAAGTATAGACTCTGGTTCTGATTCATGGCAAGGAATTAAAATTCCCCCATCCTAGCACAGGGTCTCTTCCCCCAAGTATCAAATGCCCATATAATCATGATCACAGTACTGCTGTGGGGCACCTGGGTAGGAGGACAGAGAGCAGGTACACTGTCCTTTAGAGACACAGCCTTTTTGTGTGTGTAACAAGAGCCAATTAATCTGATCAAACAGTCAAAGGTGGGAAATTTTATCCTGTATGGACAGACGTGCAGAGATTGCTGACCTCATGGTTCTGCTGTTCAGCACCTGGAGTCCTCCCAGAGTCTGAGAGGCCTTGGGGAGGGGTGTTTCTTAGAGCATGCACGTTCCCTAGGAGTACATGTAGAGATGTGGCTGTGAATGTCATTGTGGGCAATGGCATCTCCCCAGTCAGGGAGGATAGCACACATTCTCAAAGCGGGACCCAGAAAATGAAGGGGACCAGCCAGAGTTCTCATTGAGAACTTAAAGATGATAGATGTGGCCTTAAGAGTGAGTGGGGGGGGGTGCTGGAGAGATGGCCCAGTGGTTAAGAATGCTGGATGCTGTTACAGAGGACCTGGGTTCAATTCCCAGCATCCACATGGAGACTCACAATCCTCTGTAACTCCTGTTCCAGGGGATCCTCTGGCCTCCAAGGGCATCAGGTACACATATGGTATACAGACATACATGCAGGCAAGACACTTACACACAGAAGGAAAAACAGAACAAACCAAAAGAATGAACCCAGGGCAAACAGGAGGTGACCAGAGAGAACACAGGAATGGGGTCTGGAGAGATGGCTCAAAGTGTTTACAAGCACATGCTGCTCTTTTACTGGACCTCAGTTCTGATCCCAGCATCCACATCAGGTTGCTCAGAGACACTTGTAACTCCATCTCCAGGGAGTCCCCTGGCTTCCTAGGGCACCTGCATGTACACACCTACACACAGACACATATAATAAATATAATTTAAATGTAAATATATTTAGGAATACAGGCCTAATGACTGCTATGAAAAGGCACTGCCCTGGTTGGTCTTTATTTTCTTCCTTCCTTCCTTCCTTACTTCCTTCCTTCTTCCCTTCCTTCCTTCCTTTCTCTTTCTTTTTTCTTACCCCTTCCTTCTTTTATTTATTTATTTATTTATTTATTTTTGTCAACTTGACACAAACTAGAGGGGTTGACAATTGAGGAAAGGCCTCCACAGGATCCAGGATCAGCCTGTAGTCCAAAGCCGATGGGACACTTTCTTAATTATATGTGAGGGCCCAGGTCACTGTGGGTAATGCCACCGCTGATCAGGGGGTCCTGGGTTATATAAGCAGGCTGAGTAAGTTGTGCAAAGCAAACAAGTATGTAATGTTCCTTCCTTTAGGTCCCTGCCTTGAGTTTTTGTTCTGACTTCCCTTCTTGCTGAATGACAACTATAATCTGAAATAAACCCTTCCCTTTCCAAGATGCTTTTGGTCATGGGCTTTTATCACAGCAACAGAAAACCTAACTAAGACAGAAACTGGTATCAGGAGTACAGTATGGCTGTGACAGACCTGACCATGCTTTTATGGGATGATTGTAGAAGGACTTTGGAAAGGACAGAGGGTCCCCACCTGCCTTATTCCTGCTCCCCATCTTTGTGACAAGGTGAAGTAGCAGGCCTGATTCTTAGAGAGGACCTGCCTTCCTCTCAGTGCCCCTGGGCCTCACCCCTCCCCAGACCCGCCAGCCTCACCCTCTGTGCTGGCATCATCCACTAGGATGATCTCCTTGAGCAAGATGGCAGGGCTGGTGTGCAGGACACTGTATACTGTGCGCAGCAGAGTGGACCAGGCTTCATTGTGGAACACAATGATCACGCTAGTGGTGGGCAGTGGGGGACAACGCCGGAACCTCTGGTCAACACACCTGCAGCAATGGAAAGATGGAAACAGCTGTCTAAGCCCTGGGGGGCGGAGGGGAGGAGTTCCAGGAGGGGAAAGGGATCTGTCTAGAGCTCTCTAACCCTCTCCAGCACCCCCCCCCCACACACACAGCAGTCTCCCTTCCCTCTTGTACTTGGGAATAGCTGCTCTCATTCTGTGATTCCTGTTTTCTACCCTCGATGCACTATTAGTCAGGCCCCTCCAAAGCCACCCCTGTCTGGCTCAGTGCCCTAAGGTGATGCTTGGGTGTCTCCCCCCTCTCCCCCCCACCCCCGCCAGTGGCATTCTGCTCTCAGGCCAGGTGCTCCCACAGCTGACTCACTCTGCACCTTGGACGCCGTATGAGGTGTGACTGTCCAGAGGTCCCACAGGGCTGAGTCATTAAAGGCAAATGTTCAGTTGAGGACTATTGCTATTTGCTATTCAACGTGAGGAAAATGTCCTTCCCTAAGAGTTCCAATACACACTTCCTCTCAAAGTTGGAATGATTTTTTGGGCCTGCGGCCTTCACTAGAGGGAACCCAGTGGTGTGGGGAACCTTCTGGCCACCTCAGCAGCAGTCAGACAATATCTCCTCTCTCAGATTAGCATCAGAGGCCCAGACAGCAGGGGCAGGTTCAATATCCTGAGGGCTGCAGCTTTGTCCCAGTTCCTCCCAGGAAAACCATGCCAGATCCTGGTCTATAGCCTGGGGTTCCTTCTTCTATATCCTGTTCCCTCCACAACTCTGTTTTAGTCTCACATGTCTCTATGGACCACTGCCAGACCATAGTACTCCTGAACTCTAGCCCCTGGGATCAGGGCAATTGGCCAGAAAAAGAGAAGAGGAAATCCCTGCCTAGTCTCAAATCCCCTTCGGCTTCCTTCCTGTCAACTGGCCAGTGACCACAGCCCTCCTAGCCACACTTCTGGGAAAGCTCTGGTCTCCTCTGAGAGTTCTGGATGCTACTTACTCAGGGGGTCTGGTGTCTGGCCCCAGGGACCTCTGCAAAGAGATGCGGTCACTGGCAAAGGCATTGAAGCAGTGTTTCTTATAGCCCTCATCCTTTTCCTGGGTCTCTAGAGGGGTCCATTCTTTCTTTTGAAATGCTTTTCCATCTGCTCCTGGGCTGCTGGGGTCCTGAGGTGGTCGTTCCCAGAAGGGCTTCAACTCAGCAGGGGTATAGAACCCCGGAAGGCAGGAACGGTTTGTGGAGACCAGAGTCTGCTGGGGTTCCGGAGCCCTGATTTGCAGTTTGGGCATGACATCTCTAATGTTGTTTACGGCACCTAGCATGAGGCCCAGGACATGGTCCTTCTGACCCACCAGGGACTTCAGCCACTGTTTCTCCATGGTCTGCTCCCTTTTGTTTACGTCCTTTTGCCGGATGAAGAGGAAGAGCATGAAGGCACTGCCCAGCATGGCTAGACGCAGGGGCATGTGACGTCTGCGAAGGAGCCTCATCTTCCTGACTGGGTCAGCACCAAGTCTTGGACCTCGCTTTGGAAATAGCTTGATATGCCAGGGTGGCCACGCCTGGGATCTATCTCAGCCTGAGAAAAGAGGGATATGAGAGAAATGAGCCACTGTAGAGATGGGGAGGGAGCTAGGGTCTCGGGACTCGGGCCCCAAGTGTGACTCATCAGAGAAGGGGTCACAGCATCCTGATACCTAAATTTCCTTTTGCTGTAAATGAAAAAAAAAAAAAAATGGGTCTGGGTCATTTCGACTGGGAGGAAACTACATTGGGAAACATCCTTGCCACTAAAATAAAATTTAGTTGGAATACACTTGTCAATGGCATGCCTCAAAGGACAGCCACTCCAAGAACCATCTGCAGTTTCATTCCTAAACTGATTTGAGTTTTGAGACAGGTTTGCTAATTAGCCCAGTCTGGCCTTCAACTACTGATCCACACAGCCTCCTGTGTATTGGGATTACAGGCATGGACCACCATGCTGGGCTTACTTTGTATGTCAGATAAGCTGGTTTGTGTGACCCTGGAGGCCTGGACAAGGATGTCTGTAGCAGCATTGATCAAAATGGCAGCAACGTATAATCAGTTTTAGAATGGTCAAGTGGGAGAGGGCCACAGTGGGAAGCTCTCTGTAGCCGCAAAGGGAACGAACCACCTCTCCGTGAAACACTGCCAGGGCAGTGGGGTAAAAAGTCAAACTGCAGAGAGACAGTGCTGCCATTTATCAAAGGTTATAAAATATGCCCACGACAAGATGGTGCTGTGCATATAAATATGTGGTAAAGCTATGAAGAGGCTGAGAACAGGAAAGCCAACGCTTCTGAAGGAAGACAAAAATGTATGAATTATCCCAGCACTTGGGAGGCAGAGGCAGGTGGATCTCTGTGAGTTGGAGGCCACCTGGTCTACAGAGTGAGTTCCAGGACAGCTAGGACTATTACAGGGGGTGGGTGGAGGACAGAAAAGAAAAAGAGGTACAAAGAGACACAGATTAGAGATAAGCAAAGGAGGACTAGAAAGTTAGAAACACAGTCTTCTTTCTAGAGGTGGATGGTGACACTGGCCGCCTCACCCCTTTCTCTTTCTTTCCAGACAGGGTGTCTCCATAGAGACAAGGCTGGCCTGGAACTCACTATCTAGGCCAGGATGGCCTCAAACACTGGAGATCTGCCTCTCCAGTGCAGGATTAAAGGCGTGTGGTACCACACCTTGCCTACCCTTAGTCTTTATGTCTGACACATATTTCCTAAATACAGTTGACCCTGAAACAATGCAGGGGTTACAGGTGTCAACTTCCTATTCAGTTGAAAATGTAACTTTTGGCTCCCCTAAAACTGCTATCAGTGGCTGTTGACTGGAAGCCTCTCTGACAACGAAAGTAATCAATTAATACATGTGTGTATTCTGTGTGGTAGCCAATACACACCAACTATGAAAGATCACATGTGTGTACTCTGTGTGGTAGCCAATACACACCAACTACGAAAGATCATTGTGTAACATGACGTTAGATTTTTCTGGAAGGATGACCAGCTCAGATGGAGACAATCAGTGTGTCAAGTGACATTTTAAGCAGCTACTCAGGACACTTGAGGTTAACACAGGAACACAGGAGAGGAATCTCTGAGATGATCACCGTGGTATGGTTATATAGATTTCAGTACTGTGCATATTACAGCTCCTTCTGTCAATCGTGACTCCTTCAGTTTTGAGGACTCACATGTCTAAACACACTCTTCACAGAACTAGCTCCCCCTCAGCTGGGACTGACCGTGCATCTTTAGATCGGTTGCCTTGATCTCAGCTTCAAACAGCGCTATATGCATCCACACGTGCCTGTGTTGCTAAGTTCTGACAATCTGAACTGTTCACAATAGATTTGTGTGGCTTAGTTGGCAGAGTCTGGTGGACACACTTAACACTCAGAGGGCAGAGGCAGGAGGATCAGAAGTTCAAGGTTATCCTCAGCTACCTAGTAAGTTCAAGGTCAGCTTGGACCATATGAGACTATTAGAAACATATACACACAATAGCTTTGTGTATCATTTGTGTCAGATACATTATTAGCTACATATACTCTATGCATTCATGATATAGTTAAGATACATCTGTTAGCTTTTCAGATTGTCAGAAATTCCCTGCTCCTCAAAATACACATGTGTGGGCCCATGGAGGACTTCAAAATGTTGTCTATGGGTCAAGCAGATTCTTCTGTATTTACTCACTTAGAATGTGTGTGTGTGTGGGGGGGGTATGTATGTATTTGTATGTATGTGTTTTTGAAGTAGGGTTTCTTTGTGTAGCCTTGGCTGTCCTGGAACTCACTCTGTAGACCAGGCTGGCCTCAAACTCACAGAGATCCACCTGCCTCAGCCTCCTGAGTGCTGGGATTAAAGGCGTGTTCCACTGTTTGGCAGTTTTATTTTTTGACAGGGTCTCACTATGGAGCTCTTTGGCCTAAAACCCGTGATCTCCTGCCTCGGCTCCCACAAGCTGAGATTATGAGCACATACCACTAATTCCAGAGGAAATTTGTGTTGTCTTCACTCTAAAATTCTATTCTATGATAACACCTTCCAGGCAGGACTAGGCATGGGGGTGGGGGAGAGGAGAGTGTGCCAGGCAGCACCCCTGTCAGAGGATGAGTATGAAGAACTTCCCGAGGGAGTGAAGCTGATAGAAAGATCACTACCTGATAGATGCTGGTGGCAAGAGACACAGCCTCAGGCTCAGTCCTGCCCTTTACAGGCTCTGACCTCTATAGTGGGTACAGGATTAAGGGAGAAAAGAAACATTTCTCAGAAGTTTGGCAGTCTTATCAGTGTGCCCAGTCAGTTTTCAAAAAATAGTTTCCACCATTAGCCACGTGTGACCCTCGGGAGATTTACTTTATCCTGCTAAGCCTTGATTTCCTCATCTGTGAACCAAGTGTCACTAACACCCAGTTCGGGCTGTGTGGAGGATTAAGTTAGGTGATGTATGCAAAACCTACAGCAGAGTTCACATCGTTTTCTTAGCCCTCAAGTACTTCTATTGTTGTAATGAATAAGGCCCTGTGCAGTTTCCCAGCAATTACCCCAGGCATCTGTTCCTCGGCCAAAGCCACATCGTCACACCTTGCATGCTTTGCCTAAAAGTGACTCTGGGCTGGTGACATGACAGTTACCCTCCTCCCTACACCCCACTCCTCCCCCTTCCTCGTAGTAGTCTACTCTGAGGAAAAAACAAGTACTGATTGAGATGTTTAGTTCTGTTAGTTAATTCCACAGTGTGTCCTGCCAGTGTGAAGCCTGGTGTTGGGAGAATAAGTGTGTGGACAGCATGAACTCAATGGCCAGCAAGCTGGACCTGTGCTGGGGACACAGGTGGTTTCTTTCACAGCATTATCAAAAATCAAATGAAAGAAATCTTTATTCTGAGGCTGAAGAGATGGCTCAGCTGCTCTTGCATAGGGCATGGGTTCAGTTCCCAATACAAACAAGGCAGCTGACAACTACCTGCAACTCATTCCAGGGGATACAGCACCCTCTTCTGGCCTCCAAGGGCATTGCATGCATATGGTACACATCCAGGCATGTAACCAAAACACCATGCATGCAACCAAAACACCCATACCCACAAAATAAAAACAGATAAATCATTTTTATTTCCTGCTTTGTATTAAGGATTATGTAGGATATGAGAGGCCTTTATTGATTCTGTTGATGAATGGAAAACTTGCTATGTTCCAGGGACTGGGAAGGGCTGGGAAGAGCCTCTCTCTGCACGGGCACAGTTAATCAGATTCCAAGGGAGCATAAGAGGGATGTCCTTGGATGGAAGGAGGAGTGTATAGGAAATGGCAAATACAGCAAGGCCAAATCATACAGAGGACGAGCTGCGCATATTTCAAGCGGACAGCATCATCAAAGGCCAAGACAGAATGACCAGTCAGAGAACAGCTGCCCAGGATGGTGGGAACAGAAGGTCGAATAGGAGTAGCAGAAGATGGCTGGGGGAGGGGCTGAAGCCTAGCAGCAGCCTTTATGCTGTTTGCCCTTGAGAAATGGGGAAGGATTTTCTAGGAAGAGGAATGTGGCAGCTAGTGGCCAATGAGGTGCGCAGGGGACTGTTCCGCAGCTGAATGATCAGGTAAGAGGGACCTGGATATCCAACCCAGGGAGCAGCCATATCGACGGCAGAGGTGGCACCAGCAAGACCTTTGTGGGTCTTAGGGTGGGACGCAAAGGTATACAATGGGGTGTGAGACTCAACTCCTTTCCACAAGGGATGTGAAGGTCTTTGTACCGAGCAGGGAGTGGGGGAAACAACTCAGTGGTTAACAGTACTATGTGCTCTGAGGACCGGTGTTCAATTCCCGGCACCCACATAACACCTCCCAACTGCTGTAACTCCAGTTCCGGGAGATCTGATGCCCTCTTCCGGCTGCACAGGCAGGCACCAGAGACCCAAGTGGTACACAGATATACATGCAGGCAGAACACTCATACGCATAAAATAAAGACAAATTTTAAAAAAGAAAACTAAGTGGAGGAGGTGGTTCCACAGGGGAGACCAGGGAGGAGCGAGTGCTCAGTGCCGTCTGGTACTGTGAGCCCACACCGCGCTGCCCGTTCAAGTTAAAGGTAGCAGACAGCACAGACGGCTGAGAAAGGCGGCGCTCCCCCTAGGTCTCCCAAAGGCTTCAAGTAGAAGAGCAAGGTTGTGTGTGGAAGCTCTTTCCCAGGGACTGAGACATGCTGAGGGCCAGGCTCAGGGGCTCTGCTCGAACCGCAGACCTCAGTCTGGATATCGTCAAGAGGTAGCTAAACTCTGAGCCTGGGACAGGTCTGTTGAGCCACCCTGTGGCCTGCACTCTTTGGCAGATTTCTGTTTGCTTCTCACTCCAGCAGGAGAGTGGGCACAGCTGGAGATGTAGGCACAGCAAAGCTGCAGTGACTACCCAGAGCCAGGCCAGCACTCACCTCCTCCAGGAAGGCCTCCTGGGGTCAGCTGGAGATGTAGGCACAGCAAAGCTGCAGTAACTACCCAGAGCCAGGCCAGCACTCACCTCCTCCAGGAAGGCCTCCTGGGGTCACCCGTCACTCCAGCACCCTCATCCAGCCACTTCCTGTGGTCCCTTGAAGAGGCAGACACCTTTGTTCCCTTTATTTTCTCTGGAGAAAGAGACTCTGGGTTAAACGGAAGCTCTCTGGAGCATCTGCTCTGCTCTCTGGATCCAGTCTGGCTGTCTCAAGCGTTCTCTCTCTCTCTCTCTCTCTCTCTCTCTCTCTCTCTCTCTCTCTCTCTCTCTCTCTCTCTCTGGAACCTGCAGTTCCTCAAGGTTCTAACCACATCCTGAAACGAAATGAGATACCTGTGATTAGACTTGGCAGGAAGGGACTTGTTCTCTGCCGTATTGGCTCAGCATGCTGGCAACAGGAAGACAGCCCTTGGGAAACACCAGTTTCATGGGTGCCTCAGGTCTCTGGGGTTGAGGGTTGCTGCTCCATTCAGCATAGTTAGCAAGGGCCAGGAGGCTGCATCCCACAAGCCTTGCGAGAGGAATAACCCTGAATGTAGTAGTTGGTTATGTTCAGGGCTCTACAGGACCCGCATCAGCAGCCTGGCCTTCAGGCCACCAGCAGGTGTGCTCACAGCCCTCCCTACTGCCAGTGAGCATCCATCCAGGGTCTTTTCCCTCGCTTGGCCCTGTTGCTCATCAGACTGTCAGAGCCAAGATGCCCCAAGTCCTAGCTGAGGAAGCATTCCCAGACTGAAGAAATGGGATGGGCTCCACTAGACACAGCACAGACTCACTCTCTCACTGCCCCAGAGGTCAGGCCCAGGGTCTACCCAATACTGATTCTACCTGTCACAGCACATGGGGTGGGGCATTAGAGGGGGCTGGAGAGGTGGCTCAGCAGTTAAGAGCACTGGCTCCTCTTCCAGAGGACACTCCCTCTGCCTCAGCACCCACATGAGGGCTCACAACTGCTCAGAACTACTGTTCCAGAGGATCCAGCACTCTCTTCTGGTCTTCAAGGACACCAGATATGCATGCAGTACACATACACACAGGTTGTGTGTGTGTGTGTGTGTGTGTGTGTGTGTGTGTGTGTGTGTATATATATATATATATATATATATATATATATATATATATATATGCCAGAATAGGAAATGACAGTTATAATGGCTCACGTCTTTAGTCCCAGCACTGGAGACAAAGGCAGGTGGCTCTCTAAGAGTTTGAGACCATCCGGTCTACATAATGAGTTCCAGGGATATAGAGTGAGGGACTGCCTAAGAAAAGAAGAGAAGAAACAAAGTGCACCACAGGTTGGACTGGGGACATAGCTCAGTGGTGGAACACTTGCCCAGCATGTGCCATCTCTAGCACCACAGAAACAAACAACAACCCCTCCAACACTACATTGCATTATTTTATTATATTTTCTTCTTGGTTACTATTTATGGCTACAGCATATACCAAAGTCTCAGAACCACTCTTAGCTTCAGAGTTATAAATGCTACTGATTTAACAAGGATCTTTGGAAACTTTATTTTTGCTTTTAGTTTATAAATTTTGAATAATCAAAATTTAATATTACTTCATCCTACCAAAGGTGACAAACATTACTCAATAGGAAATAGGACTTGGGCTGGGGAATGTAGCTCAGTGGGTCAGGTGCTTGTCTAGGCCCTCAGCTCCCACCCCAGCACTGTAAATTGGGTATGGTGACACCTGTAATCTCAGTGCTGGGAAGTTGGCAACAGGAGGCTCAGAAGTTCCGGGTCATAGGGCTATACAGAGTTTGTAGCCAGCCTGGACTACTCAAGGACCTGTCTCAAAATGAAATATAATGGGATAAAATAAAAACTAAAAAATGTGTTCTTCAAAATTTCTACTTCTAAATTGAAGCTAAACATGCTTAAATGAGCAGGTCATTTTCAGGTAAGTTTTGTTCATACACTTTATATTTCTGCTGTTATCACAAAGGGGGGGGCTTTTGAGACATCCTGCCACACTTACATGAGTTCCAGGTCTAGGAAAATGACCTTCTTTGTAGTCACATATTTAAAACTCAGTGACACAACCGGATCCTACTTCTGACCTCTTCTGGGAAGTCTTCTCTGACCTTATGTCATCTTCAGTAAAGTAATATGAAAAACTGGTCATACGAAATTCATAAGCTAAAGCAGAATTAATCTGTTCCACTTATTTACTTCCTTTCTCCTTGCCTCCCTCCCTGCCTCCCTCCTACCACCCCACCAGTGCTGAGGATCGAACCCAGGACTTCACACACTCTAGACAAGCACTTTGTACCACGGAGCCATACCTCCGACTCTGGCCTCCTGCCTTTCCTTGTTTCTGATTCTCATCATGACACAAGCCTGCCTTGTGTCAATGTGTCTGCCCTGCCAGGGACCAGGACTCCTGGACTCCAAGGGCCGTGCCATCTCTGCCGTTTTGTCACTTGCAAAGTCTAAAGTACCAATTGTGTGTGGGAGGTGACCCAGCCTCTTATAAATGGGGTGAACTAGAGGGGTTAAGTTTTGGACACTGGTTTTCTAATGATGCCAAGCAGACTTCCCAAAAGTGTTTGAGTTAGGTGGCATTCTGCTGTCATACTTAGCTTGCTGTCTGAATGCCTATCTGGGTATCCAGTAGCCTTGTTTTATAAGTGAGCCTAGCTTGGTTGGATGAGTTCAGACACACAGCTAGTAGCTTTCTAGGCATGCCCTGGTTTTCAATTCTCAGACCATCTCTTACCTCCCCTATGGGGGCACTGCAGGGACTGGGCTCTTCTGGGCCCCCTTCTACTCCCAAACCCTTTTATTGCCATTCCCTTCTCTCCAACTCCCACCAAGGGATCAAATGCTTAAAGATGCCAAACTAGGAAGTACCAAGTGAGGCTTTGGTCCCTGTGAAAGATGGGTCAGCCACCCAGAACACACACTAGCTGGTCACCTGGCCTCTTTGTAGTGAAGTTTCTTCCTGTGTATTAAAATGAACTGCACTCTTTGGGGAGGGAGGTAGAGTAGAGACGTGGCCTCCAGGAACAGGGCTGTCAAGCCATCCCCACAGGATATTTGCTTAAGTTAATTGGCTCTATTACAAATCTTTTCAAAAGCATTGGGTGGAACCACTCTGACCAAGTACATAGGTGTATGCTGGTGGACATTATAGTGGAGAAGGAACAGGCTGTTTTCAAGATCCTGGAGGGGGAAGGGCACTATAAGGCTGTCCCTTTCTCTTTATCCTTGATGACATGTTCCCTTCGTCAAGCCCAGTGGCCTCACCTCCCCTGTACTCATACTATGAGAAGATGACTGAATGAGCTCCAGAGCTTTCCTCCCCCCTCTGGTCCCAGGATGGTGGGAGGTTTCCACTTCCTGTTCCTGAGTTACACCTTCATGGGTGAGTTGACCCTTCCTGAAGACCAATACTACAGCAATGTGGCTCCCAGAATGCTGTGATAAGGTATTTCTGTAGCCGGTCCATCAAAAGACTTCTCCTCCCTCTGCAAATCTAGGTTCATTTAGGTTTATACAAAATGGTGAACTGAAGTTATCCAAACAGAGTTTCTACTGAAGAAAACCAACCAATTTTTTCTCACCACTGTAATAGGATCAGTGTTTGGCATAAAAAGGGGTTTGTCACACCTTTATTGCCTTACCTCACTCAAATAAAACTCACTGAAAATCAGAGCAGGCAGTTAAATAGGAAGTTCAGTAGCACACAGGCTTTTCCCCAGGACTCTGGCAATGGAGGGACTCCCTTGACAGAAACTGGGCCTCTCTAACCTCCCAGGGCTTGAGTTGACTTTTGCCATCTGGTGGCTGGTGGCCGGTGGTAGGTAGGGAAGAGACAAGCTGGGGGTCATGGAACAGAGGGTCTGCTCATGAATAGCAGTCTGCTCTTGGTTGCAGGAGTCCTACCCAGGAAGTATCCATGACTGGATACTTCCACCTGCCACAGCACTCAGGTCTGCAAGCAGCCAGCTAAGCCCACTGAGGTGAGCAGTTTCCCTTCTGCTTCCAGCAGCACCAGGGTCCACCAAGCACCCCTAATTCTGGGTCCACTCCAATCACTTCACAGTGCCAAGGTTACCAAGCTTTTGCTGATTATGCCCTGCCTCCTGGGTCCCCTATCCTTGCCCCTTCATGACCTTCCTCTCCACTCAAAACTGTTGCCAAAAACTGTTCTCACCCTGGAGGGCCAGATGTAATGCCTGCCAGATTCCTTTGCTTTGGGCTTCTCCAATTCGTGATCAGCAAAGCCCTGGTCACGTTTCTTTAGACTAAGACTATTCAACTGTGACAGAATTGTCCAGCAGTCAGCTTGCTGTCTGCATTTACCTTCCAGCCTAACCAGACACTTGGCATGGCTGCCATCCTCTTCCTAAGGTCTCTTCCTAAGCAAAACAAAGTAGACAGCCTGAATTCTTACTTGTCACCCCCCCCCAGGCAGGAAAGATAACTCAACTGCTAAGAGTGCTTATGGCTCCCCCAAGAGGACCTGAGTTCAGTTCCCAGCATCCACATCTGACACTTCACAATGGCCTGTAAGTCCAGCTCCAGGGGATCCAACTCCTCTCTGGCACATACATATATACATACACATAACTAAAATGATATTAAAAACAAATAAAAAGAAGTCTTCTTAGTAGGACATGGTGGCCCAACCTGTATCTCAACCCTCAGAAAGCATAGAAAAGAGGACGGAGAGTTCAAGTCAGGGGATGGCAAGATGGCTCTGCTTAAGAACATTCGCTGCTCTTGCAGAGGACGTAGTGGTTCATAACCACTCGTGTGTGACTCCAGTCCATGGGATCCAATGTCGTCTTCTGACCTCCACGGGCACCAGGCATGCACATGGTACACATACATAAATGCAGACAAGAAAGACATTCACACACTTAAAATTCTTTTTAAAAGTTCAAGGTCACTTTCATTTATATAGAGAATATGAGGCAACCCTAGGCTACATGGAAAATCCTGTGTCTAAAAGAACAAAAGAAAACAAGGTTTCCTAGTTGTATCACTGCCCCAGGAGCTGGGTGTGCATCTCTGTCCCTAACATCACCCACTTGCCTTGCTTTCTCCTGGTGGGACTTTCCCACTAGATTCATGGAGGAGAGTGAAGCAACAAGTCCAGACACCTGTATCCTGCTTGCCCTTTGCTTCTCCACCCTTAAGTTCTGTTTCCCAAGCT